GCAGGAATGTTTATCCTCTTGTAGATGAACTTTTTCTATCTTCCTTTTAATATCCATTTACTGAAAATAAAAAACAACTTACACATTTAAATGATTTCAATTTTCAATATTAAAAACTAGTTTCTATTTAGTTTCTCTATTGTATTTCTATCACAGCATTTAATGAGAATAAATCATTTGAATAAGTTCATATTAAAAATTATTCATAGCAAAAGCACCAATTACTCTTTACAAGTTTCAAGAGGGTACAATAACTTTTTCACCTAGTTACCTTTACCTAAACTTGTGTTAGCTAAAGGCTGAGATCCAACATCAACTATAGATATGACTGATGTAGAGCTTATAAAATAAAGGCTTGGACAATCCTCACCTCATGAGCTAACTTTACAAGTTAGGACCAACCCAAACTCAAGATGATTTCAGAACCTATCATAGATCTAATATTGGGCCACCCTCAACACAGTAACCTACTTGACCCAATGGCTTTCCCAGTGCAATCTACCTGACCCCGTGGCTTTCCCAGTGTTATAAAAGAAAAACCAGTCATACAATTTCCACATTTCAGATGTCCAATTTTGGGTGCAAGGGGGTGTATTGAAATCTTACATGAACCCTAGATATGGCCAGAGTTTATAAAGGCCTGGATAATCCTCAACTTATGGGCTAGCTTATATTTTCTGCTTTAACTTGTATTAGAGAATAGAATAATAAATACTTTTATTAACTGTATTGAATTAGTTCTCTATATTTAGTTTCAGTGTAAATCATTATGTTAGTTAGCTGTTTCAGACTTGTCTATATATGTAGTTTGTATCTATTGAATATGTACCTTAAGATTCATCAATAATACAATTTTACTAAATCCTCTAAACTCTCTCTCTCTCATAACTTGTACCTAACATAATACTAGGAAGACAGACAGTTTGAAAATTAAATTTAGCCTATATGCATTTCATGTTACGATACAAAATCTCTAAAACGACAAAGTAATAAGTGAAAATTTGATAACAGGCAAGGAAACAAGATTGGTTCAGGCTATTAAACAAATAATTAATCAGTCAAAAACAAAGATTCAATAATAATACAACTATAAATCAAAGTTACTGTCAAGATCCCATATCAGTTAGGAATATGGGTCATAGTTACTTGGTATGCTATACCCTCAGTACAGGTACAGAGTACATTACTATGGAATATGTGGTACGTAACAGGTAACCATATTTGGTACTCTAGTTGGATTCATGGTACTTTTTATTAATTGAAATGTTCTTACTATAAACTTTAAAGAACTATAAGAGCACAAAATATTCTCTTAATTATTATCATTTTTCTTGTTCCCAATAACCAAGTGGACTTCAAATATCTATTTCGCAAAACCAATTTATGTTAATTAAACAAGCAGTTTTGACAAAACCAAAACTACTTGCACTTTTGTCAACTATGATCTGCATGTTCACCACTATATATCTATTGAATTATTTAAAAGCAGTAGAATATTTGCTAATAATGTCAACACACTTAGGTAGCTTATGGGTCTATAGCAAATAATGGGAACTGTAGCATATCTTTTTGAAACATGGTGCTAATTATATTAAAAAACAATATGACATATTCAATATTATTTGAAATAAAGTAACATCATCATATCACTGGAAAATGAGTATGTCTTGGCCCTTAACATGAATGGGTGACAAGGAAGGAAGAAGGAAGCTAGGGTGAGAGACTTGATAATGTCTCTCATTGTGAGAAAGGATTTGATCCATTAGATATGATAATTTTAAAATCAACGGCTGAAATATCTATTTCTCTCTTTTATTTATTTTTCTTTATTTTTCCCTTACTTTCACAAAATGACCCTTTCATTCTCCCACCAATTCTCCAACAGCTTGTACCCTTTCCCCCTCCTCAACAACTTGATTCTCAAACCTCTCCTCTCTCCTACGGCACCCTCACTCTGGTGCTAACAACAACCACCTTTGCCAATGGCTCTATGACAACTTCCAATCCTCCCATCCCGAATCTCTACTTTCTCTCCCCTCTTTCCTCTTCTCTTTCTCTCCCCTCCACACTATAGCTCCAATCTCACTTCCAATGGCAGCCCTTTTCACGGCCTCTTTTTCATTAAGTGTGTTTGGAAACTCATCCAACATGTCCGTATATACCAAAAGCCATGTCAAATTGAATGTTTTATCTAGAAGCTATAATTTGATGCGGATCCACATTGCAAGCTACTTTCCAAAAATGCACTAAAACTAGGAGGATCAATTTGTGATGGCTCTACATGGTGGCTTGAGATGGCATTGTGTGGATTTGTGTCTCTATTTTGAGATGACATTAGTGTTCATGGTGGGCAAGATTGGAACATTGGCATATGGATTTTATGATTTTTGAAGATGAAGAGGTTGTTGTCCGATTTGTCTTCCTCGTAGTGGGTGTGGCCATTGATTATGACTTTGCCATTTGGGAGGATTTGATTGGACGCAAACCAACGGCTGGCAAAGAGCTTGCTTTGGGGGAGCTTGAGTCAGTCACTGGTAGTGTTGGGGGCATCATTTAGGCTACCAGGTTGGAGGACAGTGTTGTCAAGGTTGAGAGCACTGTTGATATCACCGTAGTCCGCAACATGATGAAGAAGAAAGGAAGGGTGAAGTCGAAAGTGTGAAAAAATAAAAAAGAAGGAAATTTTCATCCATTCATTTAAAAATTAATAAATCTAACAGCCGAATATGATGTAGAAGTCCTAGTGTCTACACCACCAGAAGTATATGCTAAACTTTATATTTCAAACTATATGCATTGGTGGATATTCTATACACTAGTTACAAGAGTTCGTATAAGGAGATGACTGTGTGGTTTCAACATTGTGCAGGAATAACCTTTTAGGAGAAAGACATTTATAATTTGAACCTAATACATATTATCTTTATTAATCCAGTTGATGACACAATTAACTAACCAAAAAAAAGTTTGACCAGTGAAAATATATCTGAAGGGACTCCCGAAGAGCAATAGATCAAACCAAATTCAAAGCTGCCCTACCATTTTTAAAATTGCAAGAATTTAGGAATTGAGCATGGTTTAAGTTATAAAATGTGAAGGAGGTGTGTCATAATAGAAATAATACAAACATGGAAACAAAACAGTTTCCCTTGCAGACAAATCCTTGCACAATTAAATTTTAAAAAAGGGACTGATTACAATTTGCAATATCATTAAAAGGCATAAATAAGATTTTTCTATGAATTGAAGTTCCAAAGGCTCCCATGACCAGCATGATCCGTTTAGCATCCACCAACTTAACTGTAATACCACATATTCGTCACTCTCCCCAGGGAATCAATGTTCTGGAAATTCCATGACAATTTTTCAATGTAGCAAATTATCTAAATCTATTCCACCTTTCTAGTCACTGCAAATAATACCAACCAGAGGCACAACCAAATATAATGGAAAATGGCAACTAAACGAGATAACAACCATCTAACCTTGCAAAACCAATGACCCTCATAAAACACAAATTCAAAAAACGATAACAAAGATACATCTTACACTATCCTCAAGCATACCAAAAATTCCAAATATAAGACTAAAACAGGCTCCACATTATAACTGTAAGTTGAAAACATAAGCCCTCAACTTTACACCCTCACTAAAGTTCATGGACTGAACCCAAAGAATTAACTAAAAAGCAGAGGTAAAGGCCCTTTCCCTGAAGATAAAAAGTGGTGTCCCCCTTTACGAATTTTAATAACAAGATGCATTTAGAGGGGCACTTGAGATAGTAAACAGAAACAGTGTACATATCCTACCACATTCACTACATCCAAGAAAACAATTAGTAAATCACCAAATAATCATACAACTCCTGCATGGCCAAATGAAAGCAATACAGTGAAAACTCTCACAACCCAAAAAAAGTCATGCAATAGCTATATCAGAAAGATCTACTAAGCTTCTACATTTGCATAGGAGTTTCCAACACATGACCAAGAGGTGTCAGCATTGGGGCACCGTCCAACATGTGGACAGCCAATCTAATGCTGCATCTGTGCTTTATAGATACTCTTTACAATCAACAATAATAAACAACAAAAGAATAACTAAAGCTCACACACATTTTCTGGTACAAAGAAACAACATTCATCCCAGTCAAAACCAAGCAAACTGGGGACAAATCTTAAAGGCAAAACACTCATAAAGACATCCTATTGCAAACATACCAAAAGAAAAGAAACAACATTACAACAATTTGTCAAAATTCAAATATCATAAAGAGTCTCAACCAAGTATACAGATTCAAAGAGTTACGTTATCATAAACTCAAATTCAAGGGGAACAAATCCTATACAAACTCCAAAACACACAGTGCAAGAGATCATTTAAACTCAAACACATGCTATAAAATTCAACATCAGATATGTCACCACAAAAAAGCACACATCATGAATAGGATTCACCATAAACCTGGCTGTATATCTATAACAATAAGTGTGCACAACAAAATTTAGATACAGTTCCTTGAGTGCAAGGATTTAGAAAACATTTTATGACTGCAATTTCGGCCGCAACATCAAAGTTTTTGGAATCCTCGCAACCACAATTGCAGCCACATCAGCCCCAATTCCCCGCAATATCAAGAATTGGGATGAAACCTCAAACACAACCACAATTTAAAACCTTGTTTAGTGCATATTTTGTAGTTCTCTTATCAGAATTAAAGTTTCATCTCACTAATCCAAGTAATAAAAAAATTTCCCAAAAACTCGAAGTTAAATTCCAATTTTGATTGGTCAACAACAAGAAGAAAAGGACCAAATAAACTATATCTAACTTTTGTCTAAACATGAATTACTCCTATGAGCAATGTCGCAACCAGGATTGAAGTTTCACCTCAATAATCCCCATAAAAATGTGTCCTAGAAAGTCAACTTAGGTTACCAAAGTGAAATTCCAATTTTAATAGGACAACAACAAGAAAAGGACCAAAGGAACTATAAGTCTATTTAGAATCAAGCTAAGAAGAGCTTCAAGAGCTTCTAGTTCTTTTTTTTTTCTCATAAAGAAGCTCTCAAAAGCTCTTATAAGGTTATACCCAAACAACCTCTATAGACAAAACTCTCAAATGCTCCTCTAAGGTTGTAGCCAAACAAACTCCATATCTAAATTTTGTCTAAACATAAGCAACAACGCAATCCACAGCTCCATTAGAACCAGAAATCCAGAAGCACTAACCCAAAGGTGCGGACAGGGATGCCTTGCCAGCAGCATAGCCATAGCCATCATACCCTTCCCTCCGCATCTTCCTCCCACCGACATCATCCTCGTCGTCAAACTCCTCCTCGTAGTACTCCCTCCGGTGCGCCTTCTTGGCCGCGGCAGGGCCCAGATGGTAATTGTAGTGGCCGACGACGGGCCCAGGAGCGGGGTGGGCGGGGTAGTGGCGCGGGCCGAGGGGCCCGCCCAGTATGCTGCGAACGGGCAAGAGGAAGTAGAACTCCTTGTCCCCAATCTGGAGCAGATCTTGGGAATCGAGCTTCACGGGGGGGTTGTCGGGGAGGTGGAGCACGCCCTCCACGAGGCACCCGTTCTTGCCGAGGACCTCGAGGGCGAAGCGCCGCCGCGCGAAGTCGTAGAAGATGCGGGCGTGGTGGCGGGAGATGTTCATGCCGCCGCCGAGGCTCGAGAGGTCCACGTCCACGGTGGACTTCTTCGAGTTGCGGCCCAGGACGATGGAGTAGGTCTGCATGTAGTACTCGAAGTCCTCGCCCTGGAGCTTCGCGAACCCGGCCTCCACGTCGCCGCCGCCGCCGCCCGCCGCGGTTGCCATCGCCGGAGAATTCGAATTGGGGGAAGCGAGAGGGTTTGGTTTGATCAGAGAGAGTGAAGAAGGGATGGAAGGAATGAAATTGCGAATTGTAAATGAATTTACTCGATTTCGGAAACAAGAATGTAAATTGAATAATAATCAAGGTTCCCAACAGGGCGGGTTTAGCTACTCTTCTTACTTTTCTCGCCTAGGGCGGAGCCTTTTATATATAAATTAGAGTAGTGTGAGACCTTGCCTCTCTATTTTTTTAAGAAAATAGAAAAATATAATAAAATAAAACGATATATTATTTAAGGATAAAGTGAAGAAATAAAACATTTAGGAGGGAGTGTATTTTCTTTATTTATGAAATAAAATAAAATTAAAATTGAAATAAATAGGTGATTATAGGCAATTTTTTTAGAATAAATTACGCTTCTAAGAGAAATATGAATATTATATTATTTTTTTAATGTTAAAAATTATGATTTTTACCGTTGACAAATTTTAATATATAACACTTTAGGTTATTTTAATAAATTTTTGTTATTTTTGTTATAAAAAAAAAAAAGAGTTATTATCAAAAACATTTTTACATTAATATTCTTTTAAAGATGTAAATATTACACAACCTTTCTTTCTTGAATTAAAATAAACATTTTTCTCCCTTAAAATATTCAAATATGTTATTGGAATTAAAATAAACACACAAAAGGAGAGGTTATATGTGTGTGTAGATTTTAAAGCTTTTCACAAATCATTTGAGTTGTAAGAAAAATTTGCTTGTCTAAAACGCGTGAAGAATGGGGATAAACACACTTTGTATTTTTATAATGACTCATTTAACTTGAGTTACTTCTAGTTACCTTCAAATTCAAAGGGTTTTACTAACGTGAAAACTTTTGCAACAAGTATTCTCTATATTACTTCTAGCTATAACAAGTATTTTCTATGTCACTCTTGGTCACAAACGCAGCAACCCATTGTAGTATTATTTCACTAACTTCTTTAAGCTTACAAGATGATAAATGTTGAGTGTTTGAACAAAAACTCTTACGAAGTGAATATAGGTTTTAGATACACTCAATTGAGGTTTTACTTGTCAAGGTAAAGATAATTAAACTTATGTTATTTAGTGATCATACACTAGACAATGGCTTTACAAGATGTTTGGACTTAGAAGAATTTCATTAGAGTATTCTCACAACCAAGAGAGCATTTATACACAATATTCACAAAAGTTGTTTTTCTCTTTAACTTTTCTTGTATTTATAGGCTTTAGAGATATGTTCGCCAGTGAGAGTCTTCAACACATGGTCGTTTGAACTTAACATCTTTGATCTTCAATCTTCAATATGGTTGTTCTTCTCACTTATTCAGATGCTTCAAAGTTTCATTAATCCTTATAGTGTGTTTGGATGGAGAATTTACATAGAGTAATTCATTTATTTGAAGAATTTCAATTTCTTTGAGGTAAAATACCTTGTTTGGATGAGGAATTTATAAGGAATTTGAAATTCAAGCATTTGTAAAATTCCTTGAAATAGTAGAATTTCAAATTCTCCCAAAAGAGTAAGAATTTGAAATTCCTCATACTTTTATCTTCTTATTTCACTTATATATTTTATCTTATCTCTTATCTCTTCATGTTTTTAATTATTGAATATTCAAAAATATATTTAAAATTATTAAATATTATCTACTATTAATTTTTAAAATTATTAAATATTTAAAAATTAGCTAATATTTATTTTTTTAAAATTTAATTTAAAAATCTCAACATATAAATTATTTTTAAAATCAATTTTATTATGGTGGAATCAAATTATCATATCCAACCTAACAATTTAAAATTTGAGAAATTTGAATTGACTTATCCAAACAAAATATTTTAACAATGATAGAAATTGAAATCAAAGTAATTCAAATACTAAGAATTTAAAATTCCTTGAATTTGTAAAATTCCTCGTCCAAACACACCGTTAGGCTTGAAAAGGAATGAAGTTGAGAGCCTTGATTTTGAACATGCTACTTTTTGCACTAATAATTTTCTTTGTGGTTGACTTTCTTTTTTAATTGCTACCCTAGTTCAGTCTCATTATACCATTATGTGCACATACACAAAAGAGAAAATAAAGTAATATAGCATTTATAACATCTATATATTATCTAAGTGCTTATCATAATGTGTTTTGAATGTTTGAATAAGTTATTTAATGGTGTACATACATGATTGGCTTGATCATATGTTTCTCCAAGAGATCTTCAACTTAGACTACTCAGATAGAACCATACTATATGGAGCTATTGACATTAGCCCTCAACCTAGAACCAAGTCAATACAAAACTCCATTTTTAGCTTAGGAGGCAACCCCAAAACTTCATCTAGAAACACCTTAGGAATGTCTCTAACCACCTCAACTGCATCTATCAATTGCTTACTCTCTACACTCAGAGAGGAGAAAGCAACATAACATTGGGCTCCCTCCTTTAAGAGATCATCCACTTGCTTAATAGAAACCAACCCATCATTCTCATCTTTAAGGAAGATCAACTCCTTCCTAGTATAGTCTATAAGAATGTGATTAGTTGACAATCAATCCATTCTTAAGATCACATATAAACCAACTAAAAGCAAAAAAATCAAATCGCCTTATAACAATGCCCATAGACCTCTATTGGACACCTCAAACACTTCAAAAGTCATCATAAAAACATAAGCAAAAGTAGACACTAATAGATTAACATTCAAAGAACTCATAAAGAACTTTAAACTTTTCTACACATGTAATAGAGATAAAAAAAGTGCGTAACACTAAATCATACAAAATAGAAACTTCCTTACAAGTAGGGGTGAGTATATGGACCAATTCGACATGTTTAAGGCCTAACCCGCAAAACTTGCATTTTATACAAGTTAGACAAGTTTAGTTTGCAAAATAAATGGATTTCTTTTTGAAGTTTGTATCCAGCCCACCAAAACCAGCGAATAAACAAATAGATTCATGGGTCTAAATAATGATTTGAAGAAATATATTTTAAAAAATAAAAATACATAATAAAGAAGAAGAAGAAGAAGAAGAAGAAATATTTTTATTTTTAAGTTAAAATTCATCACATTAAAATTTACCAATATTTAGAATGGTCTTAACATAATTTAAAATATTTAAACTATAAATATTACCAATATTTATATAACAGTATCAAACTTTCAATAATAAAAGCATCAAAATATCTTAAAAATAATTCAAATGAAAAATACATATCAACCAAACATAGTTTTAATGTCATAATAATTTAAAAGTTTAAATACACAACCAAATTAAAGTCTTAATATCTGGAAAATTAATTAGTGAAGTTTGTCGACTAGCCTACGGATTAAGTCCACTAAGTTTTTATATCCTATGATTCAATCTTAATAACTCAACTTCCTTTGTATATCTCACACTTTCAAGAAAGAATTTCTAAAGAAAAACCTCTTAAAGATTTCCTAGCTTACAATTTTCCCTTTAGCTCCCATCATTTGCTAGGTACCTTTTCACTAGTATTTAGCCTTGGCACTCAGCATAAACACTACATAGGCCACCTTCTTATCCTTAAGGCAAATCATAGACCTAAAGATCTTTTCCATGTCACTAATCCATTAGCCTACTACCTTTGGGATAGTATCAACATTAAACTAAAGGGACTCCTTTTTCCAAACTTAGCCAACCCTCTATACTCTTATGAGACTATTGTCTTTACCATTTTTGTTGTGGCTCTATTATTATTGAGTCATCATAGCATGTTATTACATAATGACCACTTGTTGTTAAGCCATTGCAGCATTCAGTTAAATCACAATAGTTGCCATCATTTTTGTAGCTCTTGTTATTTGGACTCCATTAGTCTAAGGTGGAGGAGGATATCTAGGAGGTCTATCTACCATCCTATATTAAGATAAATAACAAACCATAAGGTAGCACATAGAACTACAAATACAACTTAAACTACTCTAAAATAGCATAATGGAATCACTCTCGTAGAGCGTCCCATAAGACTTGACTGGCTTTGATACCATAAAAGTGTAACAACTCGATGGGTCATTACACTTGATACAACTTTGCTACAACACAAAAAAAAGCATAAACATCATCTATTGTATGATTAAAATGCAAGTAGTACTTGAATATTTATACAACAAATAAATGTATAAGGTGTAGAAAACATAAAAACAATTTCTACCAATCAACTAAAAACATAAAACACCCTTTATGGGTTATGATAATCCCTTTGCATATACGTATAAATTATAATATCAATACTAAAAATACAAATCCTAAGCATTGACCAAACGTCTATATACAAGGTTGTATTAGAATAGCTTCAAAAAAATCCATCTTCAACATGGCCATCTAACAACGCTCGCCCTTGTGCCTAATCTTTTGTCTAACCATGCATCATTTGTGTATTTTGACATGAAAATGTTAATAAAGCTGATGTGCATAATGTTTTTTCTAAGTGTATCAAGTGTAGTTAATGCACATAAATGTAAAACATCATTATTACATAAGCATCAAGAAAGGAGGATGTGGGAATAAGAGTTGAGGCGACGTGTCTGACCATACCTACCAAAAGGAAATCGTATAATCTCCCTTTCCCCTAGCCTATAAATAACATCTTCAAAAAAAATTTCCCTCAATTTCGAAAAACTACCCCTATGCATCTTCTTCAACCTACATGTTTTCTCTGTAAACTTTACCTAAACACCTTGCATTCACAAAAATGGCACCCAAAACAGCACCTTTAGGACAAAAGGTACCAATCGAGGAGTACCTTTTAGACGTCTTCCTCTTTGGGAAGACAATGACCATCGTTGACCTCTAGGTCGGTGGTTATCTAGTCCAGCACTTCTTGGACCTCGATGGCTGGACAGAGTACACAATATTAAAGAGGGACTAGTTCCACGCGCCTTACGCTCACTTTTGGATGTCAGTTGTATAGGTGACGAATGCCATTATCGGGTGTGTCAAAGATACAGTGGTCAGGATCTTTCTCTTGATCATTGTGTCTATCACCAAGATGACAGAAGGGCTAAAGAAATATGACGAGGACCAGGAAGGTGTCATCACCCCAACAACGGTAGATGCTTTACTAGAATGAGCCTCGCCCAACCACGCGAGGTGAACCTAAATCCAGTTTGTCGGGTGCTCTATAACCCACTCTTC